ATATAAGATTTTAAAACTTGGTAAGATGGACAGTTTTTGCGGTGCACAGGGGTGACCAGGAAAATTACATTATTTTTTACTTGGAATTTTCTGCATATCTTTGTGTTTTGGTCATTTCCTTATGTCCTTATGGGCAGCAAGTACCTCATAAACATGGGTGTCAGAACCATTTTAAAAGTGGCGGGACACACTGTTGGAGGGTCTGGTGGTCCTAGAAAAATTTGAACAACATAAATGCCCTTTCCAGCATTCTGGTGTATTTTACCAGGTTGTTTAACATACTTTTACCTACATAAACACTTGATTTAATCATTGTTTCAGAGACAGATTTCTCAATAAATCCTGTTTTTAAACTCTGCTACAGCTGAGATAAGGTTAATTAATGTGTCACAATTTATCATATCTAATGACTATAGGGGTGCTTTTTTACTTTCATATTGTTTATTGTTTTTCTATTTTAACACGTCATTGTGCCAAATAATGATGACCATGGCAAACATGGCTCACCTCAAATTAACTCCTAATGGGTGGGTAAATATGTATGTGTCATCTCCAGGAGATTATTTTGTGTCCATGCCGTGGGGGGGGGGGGGGGGGGTAGACAGCTTGCGGCTGGATTGATGGTGTTACGTCAGTGCGCCTCTACCTCTCCAGAGAGCAGGATTAGTCAGGAGCAACAGAGAGGGAGAGAGACTGAAAAGCGCTCCGGTAATCTCTCGGTGATAAATGGTGGTGGTGACGGGGAAGGGGAGTGATGGACACGCTCAGAACCAAGTGACACCAGAGAGAGAGAGAGAGACCACCTTGGAACCTCCAGCAGGAAGTGCCCCCGGCATTTGACGCACGATGGGCCGCGCAGAATTCGCGGCGCGCTCCGAACAGGTAAAGGCTGCAGGTAAGCTGCGCGGAGAGGTCGTCTGAGGAGGATTTATATGCCTCTTCAAGGTGTCGAGTCTTTAAATGTTCCTGTTCCTGTCTTTTTTTGTTTAGTTTGTTAAGGCTGCAAGACAGAACTGCTAAAGTGCGCGCAAAAACGATAGAAAAGAAACCAGTTTGTGTTCTTCTCCTGCTTTAAATTCTTCTGAGATGCTTGACTATAGAGGCGGTTCTGCAGGACTTGTGGGTGTCATGGTTGCAGGAAAGTATGCAGTGTTGCTCCCGTCCCCTGCTTTTTTTTTATTATTTAATTATTTATTTTTACGGCAAAGGTCTAAATTGGTGTTGAGGTCAGTTACATTTTCTTTCTTCCCATGAGAACGAAGAGAAAAAGAAGCAGCGAAACAAAGCCTGGCTTGTCGCGCCTCTGTCCTAAAACCTTTCTGAATGCACGCCTCTGTCACCTACTTGGCACTTAGACCCAAACAAGCAGGTAACAACACGCTGGAAACCTGCGGGCACATTTGGTAAAACCTTGTTACTTTTAACGCTACCGGTTCTTTTTCGTGCAGGGTTCTTTTTTATTATTATTAGGGTCTTCAGGTTAGATTAGCTGCTGTAATTGAAGAGTCGTGGGGGTGGGGGGGGGGAGACAATGCGCTGAGATCAGAAGGAGAGGTGTATTGATATTTATTGGTGATGTGGGAACAGAAACACATGGAAAAGGAAACAAAGAAAGTTTGGGTGGTTCGTCACTTGGGTGGAAACTTGCAGGTAGTGGTGGTGTGTGTGCGTGTGTGTGTGTGAGGGCGGTCCGCTAAAGCACTGCTGCTAGGACCAGAGAGAGAGAGAGAGAGAGAGAGAGAGAGAGAGAGAGAGAGAG